TTGTTAAAAATTAATTGTTTTTGTTTATATTGTAGATCACAAGTGATAATCACCTGTGGTGAACATTAGTTAATTTCATTTAGTTTTTATAAGGTTTTTGAAGTCCTAAACATTTTTACTTAGAATATCTGATCCAGTTTACTTAATACATTTTTAAGATATAAGCACTATTACTGCTAGTTATGGTTAGTAATATTCAATATTTTATAAATTTAATATACTTATAAAATATTTTTATTATATTTTTAATATTTTTGCTATATTTTTGCTATATTTTTATAATATTTTTTTGATATTTTTATTATATTTTTATTATATTTTATTTCATGTAATATTTTTAATATATTTTAAATATATTGTAAAGATCAAGTTGTATGAAACTTAATAAAAAGAAAAAATATATAATTAAAAGATTTTAATATATATTTATTATATATTTGTTAGATGTTATATTGCAACTATCTAGTAAATATATAATAATTATATTGTAAATATATTTGGCAAAAAACTAAGATTTTTGCAAAGTATATAGAGAGTGACTGTATGAAGGGCATACTATAATACAATTTGAGAAAACTTTAGAAAAACATTACTATTATAAAAAATAGTACATATCAAGAAGTTAACAATATTAATTAAAGGTAGTAGTAATATTTCAAAAGAATGTTTAATATTAGTAGAAAATATAGTTAGTATTGAGATTAAGTTGTTTATTAGCTTTTTTCTTTTTAGAAATTGAGTAGAAAGAATAATAAATACTTCTAAAGTACAATATCAAGGTATATAATTAGTGTTAAGATTATAGTTTTGGCAACTCTTTAGAAGCTTTAAGCGATAAATACAATATTTTTAAAGTATTTAAAGCTATTTAAGGCATTGTTTTTTTTACAGAAGATTTAGGATTATGTAAAAGTATCAAAGTCTAAAAATTGAAATACTCTTAATAAATTTTTGCAATTTCAACTTTTCATTAAATTTATAGTTGAGAATTAAGTAGAGTTCATTTTAATTGTTAGGAAACGTATCTTCTTAATTTATTTATTTTCAATCATGATTTTTTATTTGTATTCTTCATTTATGATAGTTTTGTAGCTATTAAACTTTTTAAGTTTCCTAATTTTTGTATATAAAATTTAAACCTCATTTTTTACGTTAGAGTAAGTGTTTGGAATGGTTTCAAAGTGTAAAAAATTTTTACTTAGAGCACTACATACTAATTAATTAGCTAGTTTTTGAGATTATGCATGGATAATATAAAACACGATAGGTGCATTTGTAATTTGTTGAAGATGAGTCTTGGTTGACCTTTTAAATAATCGACTTAAAGGGGTTTTGCTGTAATAAAGCAATTATCTTTGCCACGATCGTGTCTCTATAATCTATTACTTTCTGTGCCCATTATCCTTAAATAATGTTTAGGCATTCTCAAAAATAATTTGCTCAATCGCATAATCGGGCAACAATTAGATGAATGTACATTGAACTTGCAAATTTGGTCAAAGAACATAAATTTGTAAACTGCTATAAATTATTTTTTAAAATAATTTTTAATTGATGTGGAGCTTTTAAATTGAGGGACAAGGGACCATTATTGCGTGATCAGATAACCATCACACATGTTTGATTTCAGGTTTGCCTTTTATATATTTTAGCTGGATGGTTTCCTGTTAGACGCAGGTTCCTTGAATTAACATTATGATTGCATATGATTAGGGAAGATGAAAAATTATGATCATTAAAGGAATTAGGAGGTGAAATTCATATGGTTTCTAGGTGTGAATTCAGGAGAACAAGAAATGTAGGAGTTTTGTCCGTTAATGTAAGTGTATTTAGAGACTTTGTTGTTGTATAGAGAGGCTATCATTCTCTTCGTTATCCCTCGTAGGAAGAAGGCTCTATCGTCCCCGCCCAGCCCAGCCCCGCCCTTCAACGGTGACTCGGCAATTAAATTGGTGCCTTGAGTCCCGTTTCTGTTGAGTTAAATGCTGAAGCAATAATAAGTTCTGCGGTTGAATGACAAGGATCGTAAATTAGAGTAATTAATAGCAGTGCAAAGGCCATATTAGAGTCTGATTAAGCTCCGCGGCTGCAATTGCAGTGCATGGACCATATTATAATTGGACTCCGCAGCTGCAGTAGTAGTGCAAGGATAGTCTAAAGCCAGGTATAATATTAATTTATATGCGTCACGTGATTTTAATTTACGAATTTGTTAGTAATCAATTAAAAACTACACGAGTATGATAAGGCTCCATGGCTGCAGTAACTGTGAAAGGACCTTTATAGATACTATATACGTACGTACGTACGTACTTGATCACATATTTTGACTGACTATAAATTTACACTATATAATATCGATTTAATGTTTACTTAAGCAAAAAATGCAATTTTATCTTGTAAAAAAAAAAAAAAAAATCAATTTTTTCTGCGTTCAACTAATAAAATACTGGTCTGTTTATTATTTATTCATCATTAATTAAAAACACATTTTTTAAATAAATTATAAAAATATATCAGAGCGATATACCAGGTATTTAAATATTATTGAAAATTTTACACATAAGTTTATTATTTTCTCCATAGAAATCGTCTTTAAATTTAGCGCTCTACTCAATGTAATTCTTTTGGGCCCATATCAAAAAATAATAAAGACAAATATATTCATTTTAGGTTTTAATACGTACCATTTTTTTACACTTTAATATGCTACTAAAAACTATTTAATTTACTCGTATTTTAACATACTACTAAAATATATGTAATTTTTTCGCACTTTAAAAATTAAATTATTTCGTTAACATACTATTAGGAATTAAATAATTTCTACTTTAACATACTATATACTAAAATTATTTCCACTTTAACATGCTACTAAAAATTAATTTATTTCGCACTTTAACATACTACTATTTTATATACTCGTTCGGCTCATTATTAATCGGTTTTTATAATAGTCAAATATATCTTGATGAGAATATACATGTGAGATATGATATAAATGATGTAAAATTATGCGACTTAGCGCGATTTGGTTTAATCACACTAAATCGTGTCCCTGATATCCGCTTTAAATTATATCCAATCAGATGTTCGCATTTGAGTACATAATACGTATTTTCAGATAACATTCCGTCTTAGGTATTATCAAAATTTAACATTAATAAAAGGTAGATTGTTTTTAAGACATTCAAAATGAGAAGCAGTTTATCGTAGAAGTCTTAATTAAAAAAGAGCCGCTCTGATTGAGTGCGATAATTCTACAATTATTGGCTTAAATAAATTTTAATTTTGTCAAAAATAAGGATTTTTTTTTTTCTTTTTACAAAGTATGTACGTACATACGAAGGAAATGCACGTGTCAGATATGTATATGTAATTTTCTTTGCTAGTAATATGAGTCGAACAATATATTATTGTTTCATAAGGTCGTTCACAATAAGAAGCAGTTTATTACAAAGAACTTGATTAAAAATGTAAAGTACCGATCTAATTGATTTATAAGTATTGGCTTAAATAAATTTTAAGGATTTGCCGAAAATAAAATTTGATCTTTTTACAAAGTATATACGTACATATGGAGAAGGATTGCATGTGTCAGAGATGTACTGTGCAATTTTTCCCTTGCTAATAACATGAGTCGAACAATAGGTAGATTGTTTCAAAAGGCCATTGACAAGAAGCATTTTATTACAAAAGCTAGACTAAAAATGAAAGGAACCACTCTAATTTAGTGCTGCAGCTCTGCAATCTTTCCTGATATATGTATACAGTATTTCTTTTTAAAATTTTGCCAAAAAATAAAACTTGTTTTTTACAAAAATTTACGTACGTACGCACGTGCTAATAGCGACAAAATATAAACTAAATATTAAAATAATACTTTAATACTTTATTGAAGTCGATAATTTATACTTAATTATGCGCCACATAAATTTTATTGGGATTAAAATTCTTGTGCCGGAGCAGAAAGCTATAAAACCTTAAGACTTTCTAGAGACAAAATATACGGTTTTCTATGCCTATTTTTTCATAAACGAGCCTGATAACACTATGACCGAGAATCAAGTAATAAAAATAGATGAAAAATGGCAATCAATTTTAGGTAATGAATTGCCTTTGATTGAATCTCAACATTATATTAAACTCGGAACAATTATTTCACCACCAAAGTTATTAGCAAATGAACTTGATAATAACGTGGCGAAAGTACTTCCATATATCCGACAGAAAGTTAAAATGTGGGGTGTTGATATTCTTAATGCAGAAAACTTCAAAAGTTTAATCAATTGTAATGAGGAAGATAAAAACTCTTATGATGATGAGGAGGATGAAGAATCTTCTGGAAGTGAATCAGGAAATGAAAAGAAAATTACCAAAAATAGATTGTCTCGGTTTGATTGCATTGCTACTTTATTTGCTTCGGCTGAATGTACTGTAGCTCAGGATATATTTCGAACCATATCTCAATTTTCTATTGCAATTCCTTTACTGATGCCTGAAGTAAATAATTCGGATAAGTATAACGTAATGTTTCCTTTACTCATGGGACCAGTCATTAAATGGGAAACAAGTAATGGAACGATCGTAGAAAATTACCTTTTCAAAGATCCCTTTAAAATGATTGCTGCAATCCGAAATGGAAAGAACTCTAAAGGCAAAAGTACTATAATTAATCGGTTAATGAAATCAAATTATATGTTCACTTCACGTACTGAACCAAGAGCAAAATATGTAATGTCACATATGGTTAGCGGAAGTATTGAGTTCATCTGGCTAACTGAAGAGACTTGTGGCGAATCCTTGTGGAGTGAGGTTTTTAAAGATTATTATGAAAAAAGGGAATACGAGGAAAAAAGAAGAGAGGTCGTACTGCTTGCAAATTTACATGGCGATGCATTAGATTATCCTGATCAAGTCGAATTTTTAAAGCAATTTTCATCTTGTTTCCTAGTTTATTTAATGCCTGGACATAACAAAGATGAGATTGAAAATTTAATTAACCCTAAGAAAGCGAGATATATTTATGTAGATCCTAAAAAAAGTAAAGGTATAAAAAAGAAATACATAATTAAGACAGAAGACTTGGATGATCACGAAACTATAATAAAAATGTGCATAAATATTAATGAAGTGTTAGAACTAGACGATCAAATAAATATAATCGATATTGACGAATTAAAAATGGGGAAAACGCTTCAATTTGCTGGATATACCGAATTTTCAGAATCTAAGTGTCTAGTAAACTTTATTAAGGATAAGACTTGTTCTCAACATTAAACGAAATATTATGCAGCTTCAAAAAAAACAATTTGAAGAGGATTAAACCACATAAAATTTTGGCAACAAACAACTGAGTTGCAAGAATTAATCCGACTATTCACCGGTATTTTATCTCTAAAACCTATCAATAAAAGAAGACAAGCTCTAGCACATCTTGAAAGAGAAGTACCCAAGCTTTCTATGGAAGAGTCTTCTAAATCTCGAAATAAAGCTATATTGAAAAGAAAAGAATTGACTAGTTCAAGCATTAAAATTGATAAAGAAAAGGAAGAAAAAGATAAAAAGATTCGAAAAGAAATTAAAGAACTTTGGGAAGAAGTTGACAATAAAAGTTTAGGCATAGAACATTTTTTCTGTGAATTAGGATATATTTATAAAATTTTTATTTCTGATTCTGACGACAAACCAAAAATTATTTCTGTCAATGGTTCGTCTAAAGAAAAAATTTTGAAATTACCTGAATATTATGCCGAACTGCTAATTAGCGGTAATACGATAGAATTACTTGATGGTGATTCTATAAACATAAATGAAGCTTGGTTATTAGCAATTTGTAATTGCATTGATAAACGATTTCCTAAACTTAGGGTTTTTGTAATCAGTATTCTTGGATTACAATCGTCTGGAAAGTCCACTCTTTTAAATGCACTTTTTGCATGCAAATTTGCTGTTTCAGTTGGGCGCTGTACAAGGGGTCTCTTTATGCGATTACTGTTTTTGGAAAAAGACTTATCTGATAAACTTGACGTTGATGCTTTTATCTTGATTGACACGGAGGGACTTGGTGCACCTGAAAAAATGGATGAAACAGAATCAGAAAAGAAAGATCGGATGTTAGCAACTTTTGCAATGGGGATAAGTAATTTAACTATTATTAATGTATTAGGAGAATCAATGAATGAGCTGACTGAAATATTGCAGATAGCAATTGTGACGATGGCACGCCTTGAAAAAGTTGGTATGTCCCCCGATATAATTATGGTACAACATGTTCCAGAAAGAAATACGTTAAGATTAACTGAGCCAGAGCAAATGTTTCGGAATGCTCTTCAAAAAGCTTTGAAAATAGTCAAAGAGAAAGACAACGAAGTAGGATCGCAAAACCTTGAATGTCTTGACATTATTGATGCAAGAATAAAAAATGGAAAGCTCCTCAAATTATTTGCGCCTTTCAAAAATGGGGCAACTGTTTATTCTCCCATCGAAACAATATCATAGGGACGTTATTAGTTTGTATAATTCTATAATTGATGATTGTGAAGATCAAAAAGAAAAAAAAAACTTTTCGGGTTGGTACAAGTTAATTAAAGCTATTGGGATGCAATATCTCATGAAGATTTTGCTTTACGGTTCAAGAATCTCACGGAAATGTATGATTTTCTTGAACTTGATAAACAAGTCACAATGCTGAAAGGGACCATTGATATGGCATATTCGGCACATAAGGAATCAATAAAAACAGAAATTCGATCTGTTGCTCAGAAAAAAAGATAGTAAAGATATAAATAATGATTTAATTCGAGAAGAATGTCATCGATTGATAGAAAATGAATTAAATAAATTTTCGAAGTTTAAAAATCAGAAACATTGCGAAAAATGTAAAGAGGTAATTGAAAAGAGAGTCGAATTAGATCAATACCTTGAAAAGAAAAAGAATAAGCATAAAGAGGAGACTAATCAAACGATTGATAAGTATATTGATCAGGTTCGCGATTCAATATTCATAGAGCTTAAACAAATGCTTGATGCTATTTTAATACGAAATAAACTTTCAAATGAACATCAAAAATTTATTGACAAGCAACTTGAAAACGTATTAACAACGCGGAAGAAACTTTATAATAAAGAAGATTGTGAACAAGAAGCCAATAAAATATGGGAATCATTATATAAAGAAATATTAATATCACTAAAAAACGAAGACTCGACTATTGATGTGAAAATAAATGTTGAGGTAACCGAGGTATATAAACAGACAAATTCAGAAGGATTTTGAAATAGTTATTACGATAGGTCTATTCCCGATATCTCTAAGATCAGGGCATATGATTATCTTGACCAGGTTAAAAAGTTAAAGCTATCTTCGTATCTCGACCGAAATAACATAACATTAATTAAAGAAAAAATCAATAATATGATAAATCAAAATTTATCCGGAATAGATCATTTTCATACTGGAATTGTGCGTAAGCTTTAAGGCGAAATAGACACATTATTGAATGAACTTTCAGATCTTTGGAAAATATCTATTAGGCCTAAATTTAAGATAAATGTTCACGCATACGCATTGTTGAATTTTATTAAGAAAATGATAACAATTCAAGACAAATGGGATAAGGAAAATACACCGCTTGGGGTGCTTAATCAAAAAAAAAGATGAATATTTAAAAAAGATTAATATTCGTCTTCAATACAGACATTCACATTTATCTGAAGGCCATATTGCGGGTGACTTTTTATTGAGAGCTATTCATAAAAAAGCGATAGATGCAGAATATAGGGATCGAATAAATTTTTTGCGCGGCAAAGCTTGGATAAACAGTTCCAAAACAGTTAGGCTTAAATATTTTATTGAACTTGCTGAACAAGTTCATAATGGTGACCTAAATAAAGGTGTTCTACACTTTTCAGTACCACGTGAAAGTATTGAAAAGTGGTTTGAGAATAAAGTTAATCTAGATGAAAGAACAAATCAAGGACAAATTTACAAAGAAACCTTTGATACTGAATTTGATGATGTTCGTCAGAAAATTCATAATTGCAAAAGTTATGAAGATGTTGAAAAGTTTGTAAACAATTATATAGTACAAGTTGAAGGTATTGAATATCAATTAAATATTAAAGATAATTCAATTACTGAAAATTTTACATTATTCCGTGAAGCTATAGAGAAAGAGCTTGATGCAGAGAAAGAGCTCAGTATTAGAGGAAATGGTCGTTATCAACTAAAAAATGAATTATTAAAAAAACCATCAGATGATAATTCAATTATGAAAAATATCGGATGTACAGAACCATGTAGCTTTGTGTTGTGGGTTAAAAGAGCATGATAAAGATGTTGGCGAATATAAATTTCATCATACTAGCCATCAGCCACCAGGTCTTAATGGGGTTAGTTATAGAGGCATAGAAAAGCTTACTGTAAAGGCATGTCATAACAAATTAGATGCAGATTATGTATATATTTGTGATGTGCGTAAAAAATGGAAGGAGGCAAAGACTCAAAATTACCCAAATTGGAAATTTGAACCCCATTGTATGAACGTTTTTAATGATATTATGCGGTGGTTTTTTCAAATGCTTCAGCAGAATCTCTAGAGCTTAAAGCTGCAGATGAATCAGAATTAAAAACATATAGCTGTTTTTACAATTATTATAACAGCATAATCAGTGTATTAAAGCAAGAATTTAACTAATTTCTATATAACATTTAATACAAGAATTGATTTTGTATGATAATCATTCAATTTCGCTTGATTTTTTTGTTTTATTTGAAGTTATCATTATGTATTTTGAATATTATTATGTTTTATATGTGGTAACAAGTATTATACTTTGATATATATTAAGGAAGTTCGATAAAACATATTAAGTTTATTTGACATTAAATACAACAAAAAATATATTAGTTTTAAATATTTCAAAAATAATTATACATATACAAGTGACAGACTTACTTACCATGCATAACTTATTTAAAATTAAGAATAAATTATTTATTTATACACGTTACTCTGGCTATATCGACAATTTTTTTTAACTAGCAAAAAAATTTAAAATGTCGATACAGTGAGTAATACCGACATTTTATACTAAAATTTTGAAAAATTTGAGAAATATTGTCGGTATACCAGAATACGTGTGTCATGGCCCAGGTGTCGGTCCCTTCTATAATTACGTCATCTCTAAATGCATGAGATCTTATTGGTCGAAATGACGTAATTACAAATCGTCGAATCATGTGAAGTGTGTTACACTTGATCGAAATTTTGATTGGGTGATATGAATATCATTATAAGGGCCGGGTTTGGACCCTATCAGTCCTGGTTTGGGACCGATGCAACCCTAAACTCGATAGGTCTACTAATATACATATTATTCGGATGCTTTGGTAATTCAATGATAGGTTTAATTTTATCAGCTTCTAAAAATTGCTTTCTTTTTTCATTTTCATTATAAAAGTTTCCCATTTCTTCAATCCATGTAGTCACAATAGCGTTAACATATCGGATAGTAGGTCGTTTTCTCGGGTCTAAATAGGACCCCTGAATATATGTATAAAGTCTTCGTCGTACACTTAGGCTAAATTTTTTAGAACGTCTGTGTACAAAAATAAGCTTTTTGATAGCAAATTTGCTTGACCTTTAATGTACATTTAATTAATAAAATTAAAAAAAGATTGGTGTACGCTTATTATTATATTGAATTGGTATATCGTACAGTATATATTAAGAATATATTCACTTGGAGAAATTTACTATTAAATTTTGCTTTTTTTGAAATCTGGAGCTTCCCAAAGAAATCTTTTTTCGTTACTAAGTAAACATCTTTTCAAGCTTTAAGTAAAATTGTAGAGGAGTTTCTTGCGATCAAAATGGTGGTTAAAACATTAAAATCGGCCCAGAGGATCGCGAGATATAAGTACTTTAGCCTTTGCGACTATATGTTTTCTTCTTTATTTATAAAGAAGAAAACATATAGTTGCGAAGACTAAAATACTTATATATCGCGATCTACTGGGCTGATTTTAATGTTTTAACCACCATTTTGATCTCAAGAAACTCCTCTACAATTTTATTTAAAGCTTGAAAAGATGTTAACTTAGTAACGAAAAATGTTTTTCTTTGGGAAACTTCAGATTTTAAAGAAAGCAAAATTTAATAGTAAATTTCTCTACAATTTACTAATTAATGTCACTAGTTCTTATAAAAATTTTGTTGTACATTAGTTTAATATTAGGTTTACCTTTATTGTACACTTTATTAAAGTATAGAAAACTTATATTAAACTTTTGTCATACATTTAAATGTATAATTTAAGGAATTGTACACTTCAATAATAAAATTTATTTGTACGCTTATGTATGGTTTGAAGATGAAGGTTTATATATATAACATATTAGTATTCAGGGGTCCTGTCTAAATCTGTACATCACTTTGCTAAGTTCTGGTCGTAATCCATGACAAATTTTTATCGCGAGTTTGTCAAAATTATAACCATCAAAAGCCTTTCTTCCACTTGATATTTCTGTCATAATGATACCCAAAGCATAAATATCTGCTTCTTTAGTATATGGTTCTCCTTTTAAAATATCTGGTGCTACATAAGGTAAAACTCCATGTAATTCATTTTTTTATTAGTAAGTCCCAAATCCATAATATAAGCATTATCCAAGTCGTCTTGCAAAATGTTTCCACTATGAAGATCTCGATGTTCTAATCCTTGTGAATGAATTGCTTCAAGATCTGATGTTATGCAACTTAATAAGTTTAATTTTTCTTCCCATTTTATTTGCAGTACTTCATGAAGATTGTTACGTAAAGAACCTTTTTCTGCATATTTCAAAATAAGAAGGTAATTTCCTGAATCATCTCTTGATAGACCATAGCATCTTAAAAACGACGGATTTTTATATCCAATCTTGCAAAATGCTTTTAACTTTTTTATAAAAAAAAAATGTTAATCATATATTCAAATATCAAACGAAAATTCAATAAATTTACCTCGTTAAAAAAATCTTGATCATGAATTTTTTTAATTGCGAACGAATATTTACGAGAAGAATCACTGTAAGAAATTGGAGAAGTTTGTATTTGATAGAAGAGGAGTGAATGTTATTGGTAGAGGCATTGAAGTCTCCAAGTA